GTTATTTTTATTGATATTGAATTATTTCGGATTAGTATTTGCCTTTCAGAGAATTCTAATGCAGTGATCCATTCTAGAAATAATCAGAAGAGAACTAGTATTCAATTGATTATACCTACAGAGACGCAGGTTTGACTCCGTCAACTTCGTCAGTTGATAAAAAAAAGTCGAAATATCATTCAATTGTTTTTTTTTTATCTTTCGAAGCGCATGCAGGAAAAACCCTTTGATGTTTGGAAAATGGAAAGTATCGTGCGTACTTAGGAAGGATAGTAAGATAAGGTAGGTATCGGATTTTTCAAAACTTTTGTAGATTATAAGTTCTTGGGAATACTTTCTTCGACAGATAATTTCAAAGCTTTGCCGTTCTATAGACAAACAAGTTTTGATGAAGTGTTGTTCGGCATATCTCAAGGTGGACGAGGAAGGAATATGCTGACTTTTTTGAGTTCGTCTGACTGGTATTGCAAGTGATGGAATGATGTTGAAGAACATTTCCCGTGGAAGGTCGTCTACTTTCTCACGTTGTTTCAATGATGTCAAAGAATAAGTGATTGTTGCATCAGCCACTATGCGAATAGCTATTCTCTGGATTAGAGTTCCTAAAAGTTCTTAACACTGCTGTTTTGACGTTTTTGTGCGAGCTCCATTTGGCAACTCATACACTCATCTCCACAACCTACCGATTAATCATTTCATCAACTACTCCCCTACGTCTTATATTGCATTATAACTCAGGAGACTGGGACGGTTCCCGCATGAGAGTATGCTCTGATTCTGATGATCCTTCACAGTGTGCCGCGGAATTATCCGAGATCATCAGGCTCAAAATTGACATATACATACCTCATTCTTCGTGAAGATCATCAGCTTCAAACCCTGGTTCAACAAGAACTGCTCTAGACCTGTTGCCTCGAAACTACGCTGGTGCAAGGTCCCTAACCCCGAGACTAGATTGTCCTAATGGCTCCTATTCATTTTGGTCACTTGATGAAGTAATCGAAAGAAATTTCACTGATACTTCATATCCATCACTCTCCTAAGCCAACGGCACATAGGCAACTACATCGCAAAAGAAAGCGAATATTTTCTCAGAGATGTTCGCAGCAAACTCTACCTTGGATTCTTGGATTCCCAGGGAAGAGTGCTGCCAGATATAACCACCCGTTGAAAGTCGAATGCCCGAAATTGTCTTTCGTCAACGCACTATCAGAAGCATTCTGCTTGGTCTCAAAACGGATAAGTCTAATGGTACTGATGGAATTCGACCGAATATTCTTAAGAAGTGTGCACCATAATTGACACCGATTATCAGGGAGATGTTTTCCATCTCCTACGAGTCGGGTATTTTTCCATCTTACTGGAGAATAGCTATATAGTCCAATTCCTCCCAAAAAACTGCCCTACTATCAGTCATCTCCAAATTGAAGATGAAAGCCAACAACATTGATCTCATCAGATATCAGGTACCCTCAGGAATCATTATGAACAATTTGGCGGATCTCTAGATTTGGCTTGGAATAAATATCGAAGGCATTCGATTGTTTTTGGCACCGATGACTGCTCCACAAACTATACCATCATGAGACTCACCACCTCATCTATGCCATCTTCCATCGAGTTTTTTTCATCAGGCAGATCGCTCCGTGTGGTGGTGGACAGAGTATCGTCTGATATCATTGCCATTAATCACGGCATCTCACAAGGATCAATTTTGGCACCAATATTGTTAATACTTCATATCAACTTCATATCAACGATTATCATCAACTAACTCTTCGACCTCATCAAAAAACACTGTAGGAATGTCGGCGAAATTAGTCGAACAACACTATAAAACGACGAATCTCTGGAATTTTCCACCAGTGGAAGTATTTCCAAGACTTTATATCCTCCGAAAGTCCAAGAATAATTTCGTCATCCTCCTTGGTTACGCACAATGTTTCACAAACATCATAGGAACTTCCTCTCGTCCGCTTTAAGACAAAGTATGTTTGGCTACACTCAATGTTCCTAATCTACCATACTTCGAATGTGCTTGGTGTTCGTTGTTTCGATGGGTCGTCTAGTTCGGCCTTTGGGTGTCCCAGATCTTTTCATCCAGTTATGCTACTTGGAAGAGAATTTGAGAAATTACACTATTGTCAATCCCAAATTATAAAGATTCCATTGTGTCAAGTTCAACTTCTGTCAAACTTACCCAGGAATGGCTCCCCTAACTTCAATTATTTTAGTAACACCCATTCTTATTTTATTTGTGAAGTGCAATCAATTTCAACTTCAACAATGTATCACACTAAATATTTTGACAAACGTTCCACTACCGAAATTAAAACATTCGATGGAAATCGTATCAAGTGATGTAGATAATTTCTTTTTTTCTGTGACGGGAAAAATGTTTGGCATTTCATCTCTGTTGGCAGGTTATAAAATGTCACTTTTCATAAATTACTTTTTTCCCGTGGGAAAAAAGTGAGTACTTCTTTCCCGGATATATATCGCATATCTTTACACTGTTGATGGCTTTTATTGTGCTATAGTTCCGAAAAATGAGTCAATAATACCGTCTCCGAGAAAGAACTGCAAGTCCTTTTATCATCCATTCGACTTCGCGGTTACGTATACTAAACAACCACTAAATTCGCAATTTTTTGAAATCAAATAACAGAATTATTATACTGACAGAAGTGACATCAGATATTTGATTACTCCAAAAGAATGATAAAAATGCATAAAACGCAGGTGTCCCTACTGTTAAAAACGTAAAATTTCACGTCGATAATTTTCAGATTTCAAGATAATTTAATATCTTCTCAATATTGATTTGACCTTTCTTCTGTCACAGAAAAAAATATTGTATTATACACGGGAAAAATATTAGATTTTAGCTCACGGTTTTTTGTCTCCCTCCGCTACGCGTCGGGAGACAACACAACCTGGAGCTAAAATCTACTACTTTTTTCCCTTGTATAATAAATAACTATTGTTAGGTGTTTTTCAACAGTTGTTCGTGTACGCTTCTTTCAGTCAGTATTTTGACAGTTGTTCGTGCACGAGTATTTTAGTTAGTTGAGGGGAATATCCAACTAGGACATTGACTTCTTGCTTCTACTCCTGATGACTATTCCATCAATTATTGGACATCAGTCACATTTTCGAGTGTGATACATCGTCGTCAATTGATTGCACTTCACAAATCAACAAAAAAATGTTTATGGTGTAACTTGAATAATTGGAGTTGACGGTTGCTTTTCTTGGTGGATTGACAGATTTCGACTTTGACACAATTGCTGCAAAGTCATTTGGGTTTGACAGAAGTTTAATTGAAAAAAATCCAAGCAGTATAACTGAGACTTTGACGGTATGAAAAAACTGGTGTTATGTTTTACCACTATCATTGAAACCAATTTCGTGGATTCCAGACTTTTTAGGTGTGTCGACGCCATTTTCTGGATTTTCTAATAAATTTCTAGACTGATAAACGCTTTCACAACCTAATCCTCTTAAAACCTCATGAAGTTACTCCGTATACTCGGGATTGAATGAAATTGTGATTTGTCTCGGATTGTTCTTATCCACTTCGTTGAATTTCAAAGGACAAACTTGAATTTATGTTTACGAATTCATTTATCTCCTATTCTGATAGCATAACCGTTGACAGTGAGATAGTTGATTTTGTTTTTTGCAATATGAGAATGTAGTCAGTGCCGTACTGCAAAAGAAGTACATCAATCTTCATCAAAACAGAGAACACGAAATACCTAACTTCCTGTATATTGATTGGATTAATTGGTAGGACATGTTTTCCATGCGCATTCACTATAGTATATTGCCCTACGAATTCCATGGCAGTATACTCTTCAAGGATTTTGAAATATTGAAGAAAATCTGGAAATGACATTCTCCTTCATCGTCCTCTCACAGCTCAACGGTGCATTTTCTTATAGAGGTAAGTTGATTGCAATTGTACTATTTTGGTCTCTAGTTCACCCTGCAGAATTTATGGTATGTTGTTCTGGGACACCTTGTATACATACTTACAGGAAGATACCCAGATAGCACAATGTCAGTCATAGAACGTTCATAGAATATTCTTCGAGAATATTTGAATATTCTAGAAATATTTTCACAATATGATACAATCATATTATATTCTATATAGGGATGTTTTATGAACATTCGGAATGAACTGTTTCAAATATTTCAAGAATATTCCCAGTATATCGAAAGAGAATGAAGAAAATTTGAAAAAGCTCTTGCTCTGGTGGAGATGCAAATCTACTATCTTGTGATTGAATTTTTACGAACCTGAAACCTTAACCACTTCGCCACGAACATTGAACATGAACATGAATATTGATACAAGAATAGGAACATTAATATCATTATTTATTCTGATACGATTCTGAATATTCTCAGAATATTCAAAAAGAATATTCTCAGAACAATTCGTAGGGATATCCTGAGAATATGTCAAATTGAATGTTCATAGAATATTTGCTGCAGGATGAGAATATTCTATGATCATTCTGAGAACATTATGTAAGAATATTCTAAAATAAGTATATTTGAACGTTGTCAGAATATTCATAGAATATTTTGTGCTGTCTGATGGGTACATAACAGTATCTCTTAAATTTTCCAAGATTACAATAGTGATGATCGAATGAGAAACACCCTGTTTAGGGCAAAATATAATATATTGTCGATATATTTTTGGTTGCGTAGTGACAGATCATCACCAGTGATGAAATAATGCAGAGTGCTCTCCATTTGGAGATCAAATATTACACAAAAGTTGTCCATGCCCTTGAGAAAATAATATCGAGCTATCTGTGCGTTTTTTGTTTTATTTTGTAAGAACGAAGAACACTTGGCTGGATCGTTTCTTTGGGCCACTCAGACTGTCTCGCGCGTCGCTGGGTGATGGAAAAAATCGAAAACCGTTCGTGAACTACTTGAAGTGTACTTTCGCGAATAAGCAGGTTGAAATATCTTACCTAGAAAATTATTACTTCCTGAATACCCATAACTCCTATGGCGGGGGGCAATATCACTAGAAGACACATCAACGACTGGGTTTTCATGGGCCCCACCATCACATCCATGAGGTTTATGGGTGAATGAAGGAATAGGAAAACTGTGCTTGTTTCTGCAAAAAATAATAGTAGTAAGCAAGGTGAAAAGTATAACTCTAATATATCGGGTGGTCACAAAAAAACCGGAAGTTTTTATTTTCCTCCTGGTTTCATCATTTCTCAACCGAATTCGAATTTCTTGGCGTCGTTTCATTGCTGAAGGGCTATAGCATACAGTGGAATATTTGAAAATTTCCTAATGAATGAAAACGATATGGCGGATTCTACCAAAGTATTGTCATTTAGAAAAACCGCTGGGGAAAAAGAAAATCAGATTTCTTTCAACCTGTACCTATGTCATCTTAGGCTATTCATTTCTGAAGGGAATGAGTACTCGAACATCGAAATCGAACAAATAGTCCAGTAGATACACTCATTTCTTTGCAATTTGTTATGGAGTGAATGTGCTAATCTCGTATAAACGATTATTATTATTCCGCTTCAGGCTTCATGAAAATTCAATCAAATTTGGATTTCTTAGAGTCATTTCAAAGATGAAGAATTGTTGTACACAATGGAACATTTGAAAATCCAATAATTGAAAGGAACAAAATGGTGGAGGATCCAGAATTTTTGTGATTTTCAGAAATCTCTGGCGAATAAAACAATTTTTATTTTTCCAATCAGGACCGATACAATTTTAGATCATTGATTTCTCAGAAAAATGAGCACTCGAACATCTGAATCGAACAATTAGTCCAGGAGAAACACGTTCTTTTTGGCAAAGTGTTATATGGAGTGGATGTGCCAATCTCGTGATAAGAATTACTTTTAGTTTTCTTCTGGCTCCATCAGAATTCAATCGAATTTGAAATAATTAGTACGCCTACTTGGTTAAGCATTCGATTTCAATATTACATGAATATAATGGAATCAATGTATTTTGATCGATTCCAGTGTTCGAGAACTCTTTCTTTTCAAAAATAAATAGATTGTTTCAGATTTGAAAACAATATTTTTCTTTCATTTGCCAGCTATTCTCTTGAAACACTCAAGTTTGCGATAGTCTGTCAAGTCTCATACCGAACAGGCATGAAAGGGGGAACAGTTATGGATATTATGAGAAAAGATTGGATTTTAGTCTTGAAACTTTGAAAGATCGTACACTTTTCATGTTAGCGAACAAAACAAGAATCAAAAAAAGCAACGTAGCCGAAATTTAATGAATAGTTTCCGGCTGAGAGACCAAATATGGTTTTCAGACGAGAAAATATTTTTATTGGATCAACCAAAATATAGTCAGAATGACAGATTCTCAATACAGTCTCGAATTATTTTTTTCGGACCAATGCATCAGATTCAATGCTGTGATTTAAAGAGAATTGTTTCTTGATCAACTTCTAAATGACGTGGAAGCAGTCACAGATGACTACACTTTTCAAAAAGTTGAATGAAGATTCAAATCACGTTGACTAGTGGATTTTTCAATTCATTATTTAAATTTATAGGATGCTACTCCTGTGCATACGGCGTGCGCAACTATTGATTATCTCAATAACAGAATTCCTTATCCAGTCGAACCAACAATGTGGCCTCCAAATAACCCGGACTTGCACCCTGTAGATTTTAATGTCTGGGGTACCTTACAGACACGGGTATTCACAAATGAAAGAAACTTCGAGAACTTGGAAGATTTGAAGCAAAAAATTGATTATTGCGTGGAAAATGCAATACTTCAGTTAGAAATAGCCCGGTCGATACAGAGCTGGCTCAGTTCCGTATAGTTGAAGCAAAAGGGAGAAACATTCAGGTTATTTCAAAATTCGTTATGTTTCGACTTTTTTTTTTTTTTTTTTTTTTTTTTTTTATCGAGGTGGTTTAAATCCTTTATGGACACCATATGGGTCCTATCCCCCATATGGTAGTGTGGGACTCCCCTGACTCTAGCCAGGGTTTACCCACTAAAAACTCCACCCCGTTTGTAGGCTCGTCTGACCATGTCTCCGACGACACTTAGGCCTATGGTGGCCCATTGTATCTTACCTAATGTTCTTTATTGTGCCCACTCCATTATCTCTGTACCTTGAACAAGTCTGTACAAATCCTTCACTGGATGTGAGTTGAATATTTCTGGTTCGCCAACTGGTTGCCCAAAGATCTTCTGTCTTCTGCGGTCCAATGCCTCACATCGGCACAGTATATGTGCTACTGTTTCTGGTTCCTTGCCACATAATCTGCAGCTTGGGTCGCCATTGTACAGTCCCATTCTGGTGAGATGCTCCTTTACTGGCGCGTGGCCAGTCATGAGTCCCGTAACAGTTTTTATCTGTGCTCTGTTCAAGTTGAGCAGGTCTACAGTTCGTTTATGACTTGGTTCCTTAATGTATTGTTTCCCATGTCTGTTTCTTGGGATGTTTTCCCAGTAGCTCTTGTGTTTTGCCTGAATCCAGTCTTTAACTGACCCTCGTGCTGTACGTTTTGGTACTCCAAGAGTCTGTCCTGGATCTGGCTCGTTGTCCGACCCTCTTCTTGCGAGTTCGTCAGCCTTCTCATTGCCAGCGATCCCCTGATGACCTGGCACCCAGATTAGCTTGACGCAGTTCCGGTCTGCCAAAGTTCTCAGTTCCCTCTTGCAATCCCATACCAGTCGAGATGTCACTTCCTGGCTTTCTATTGCCTTAAGTGCCGCTTGACTGTCTGACATAATACGGATCTGCTCGTTTTCCACAGCTCTCCTGTTATTTTCTTCCGCACATTGGAGAATTGCGTACACCTCTGCTTGGAAAACTGAAGCGTACTTCCCCAATGAGTAGCTGAGGCTAGTTTCCGGATGTTTGGAGTATACTCCTGCTCCTGACCCATTCGCAGTCTTGGACCCGTCTGTATACCAGATCTTTCCCTGCAGTATGGTGCTGAGTTCTCCGTCATTCCATTCAGATCTGTCTGGTATGGACACCCTGAATGAAGTGTCAAATATATATCGTTTCGAAATGTGATCTGTTCTCATATTAAGTATGTCCCTGTTCACTATTCTGACGATGCTCATATGTCCTGTTCCTATGTTAACATTGCCCAGTGTATTTTGCAGTCTTAGGGCACCAAGTCTCGCCTCCCCCTGTACCATCAAATGGAGGGGAGGCAGATCCAGTAGTGTTTCCATGGCTGCGGTTGGCGTTGACTTCATAGCCCCCGTGATTCCTAGACATGCAAGTCTTTGTATCTTGCTCAGTCTTGTTATAGCTCCTCTTTGTAGTGTCTTCTTCCACCATACCAGAGAGGCATATGTTATGGAAGGCATCACCACCCTGTTGTACAACCAGTACAGCATGTTTGGTCTCAGTCCCCATTTCTTCCCACAAGAGCGTCTGGTCATCATCAGTGACGTTACCGCTTTTTTGGTTGTCTTTTCCAGTTGTTGGTTCCAAGTCAGTTTCGGATCTAATGTTTCGACTACAACTAGTATAAAGTTTTATATATTTCCAGGGTTTCACGCAATCTTCATGGACTTACATCTCGATGTGAATATCAACATTTTTCTATTCGCTAGCGGTGTTTGTAAATCACGAAAGTTAGGGTTACTCCACCATTTCGTTTTTTTTTCAATTATGAAATTTTCAGATGTTCCACTGTGTACTACAGCTATTAAACTTTGGCATTGAGAAATCCAAATTCGATTGAATTGTGATAAAGCCAGAAGCAAACTAAAAGTAATTCTTATAACGGGATTGGCACATTCACTCCATAACACTTTGCCAAAAAGAACGTGTTCCTCCTGGACTAATTGTTCGATTCAGATGTTCGAGTGCTCATTCTAATTGTATCGGTCCTGATTGGAAAAATAAACATTGTTTTATTCGCCAGAGATTTTTGAAAATCACAAAAATTCTGGATTCTGCACCATTTTGTTTCTTTCAATTATTGGATTTTCAAATGTTCCATTGTGTACTACAGTTCTTCATCTTTGAAATAACTAAGAAATCCAAATTCGATTGAATTTTCATGAAGCCTGAAGCAAAATAATAATAATCGTTTATACGAGATTAGCACATTCACTCCATAACAAATTGCAAAGAAATGGGTGTATCTACTGGACTATTTGTTCGATTTCGATATTCGAGTACGCATTCTCTTCAGAAATAAATAGCCTAAGATGACATCGGTACAGGTTGGAAAAAATCTGATTTTCTTTTTCTCCAACGGTTTTTGTAAATGACAATACTTTGGTAGAATCCGCCATTTTGTTTTTGTTCATTATGACATTTTCAAATATTCCACTGTATACTATAGCCCTCTAGCTGTGAAACGACGCCAAGAAATTCGAATTCGGTTGAGAAATGATGAAACCACGAGGGAAATAAAAACTTCCGTTTTTTTTCTGACCACCCGATATATGATGAAACAAAATGATTGCAGTTGTTATATATAAAAATTGATTGATATATATCTGTTAAAGTGAGGAAGGCAAATAGGCTAAATATGGATCTACTCAAGAGTCGTGAAGATTGAATGCTGAAAATAAAAATAGGTTACTATATGTTATGTATGTATATGCTCTTCCACTGGTGGGGGTAGCGGGTAGGTACATTTTTTCAAAAATGTAAAAGGAACATTCACAATGAAATACTCGAACGTTTCAAATATCAAAAGTGTATGCGCCAAACGTGTTCCTAATCGGAAAATATCAATCTACCGGTTGGCGGAAATGGCCGTAGAAAGAGGAATAAGAGAACAGGTGAAAATTAATAGTAGTTCAATGAACTGGAAAAACACCTTTTTATAGATAGCGAAGCTGAATTAGGAAATGAAATGATAAAAGTGTGTTGAGTAATACACAACATATAATATATTGATTACAAAGGTGATAATGCTTCATTTTCTACCTATACTTAGTTCTCCAATTTTGATAAAATAATCATAATCTCCAACCTCGAAACCCCAGATACAAATTTTAAGTAGAATCGGATCATAATTACAAAACGCGTTGGCCACATTGTATTGGCCACATTATATCCGCCACATTGAATTTCCTGATTTTGACAAATGCATCAAAAAGTCCGATCCCATAAACCCTCAG